TCAAATGGATGTCAAGACAGCGTTCTTGAATAGAGATCTAGAATAAGAGGTTTATATGCGACAACCAGAAGGGTTTGTTGTTAAAGGCCAAGAGAAAAAAGTTTGTAAGTTTATTAAATTACTATATGGGCTAAAACAAGCACCTAAGCAATGGCATCAAAAGTTTGACGAGGTTGTGTTGTTTAATGGTTTTAAATTGAACAATTTTTACAAACGTGTGTATAGCAAATTTGATGACAACGATCGAGGTGTCATAAGTTTTCTATATTTAGATGAGATGTTGATCTTTAGAATGGATTTGTCACAAGTTGAAATGACAAAATCCTTCCTTAGTTCTCAATTTTCCATGAAAGATATGGGAGAAGCGAATGTCATCTTGGGCATAAGAATAAAGAGAGAAAAAAGGAAGTTGAACTTGTCAAAATCTCATTACATTGAGAGAGTGCTCTAGAAATTCAATGTTAACAAAAAGTTTCACCTTTCTTTATTAAACACCTATGGAACCTAGCACAAAGTTGATACCCAATGAACGTAATGCAGTTTCACAACTGAAATATACTCGAGTTATAAATTGTTTGATGCATGCCATGACAAATACTAGGCCGCATATCGCTTTTGGTTCACTAGTAATCCTAGTATGCTACATTGACAAGCGGTTCGTCGTTTGTTGAAGTACTCGAAGAAAACCAAGGATTATGGTTAGAGCTATAGTGGGTATCTTTCGGTTGTTGAAGGATATTCAAGATACAAGTTGGATCTCAAATAGAGATAATTCATCAACGAGTGGATGGGCATTCCTATATGAGGGAGGTGCCATTTTATGGACATCTAAGAAGCAAACTTGCATTGCAGATTCTACAATGACATCGGAGTTCATAGCATTACATTGGTTAAGAGATTTAATGCATGAGATTCATTTGTCACAAAAGCCAATATCGCTAATTGTGATACACTGCGATAATAATGAACTTTAGCTAAGGCACCTAAACAAGTGTATAATGGTAAGTCAAGGCATATTGGAGTGAGGCATTAGCTAGAGATGTGAATAATAGGATGACAATCAATTTGGGATTAGAACTAATTACCAATGAAGGAGTCTTAACTTAACACCCAATAAGACATTAGGTCTTCGGTTCAATAAGATTAACTTTCTTTTTTGATAATTAGGAACTTGTTTAATCATCAAAGGTAAATTTCAATTTAGGAACTTGTTTAATTATTGCCGAGCACGAGGATAATTTTTCTGAAATTTGGTTTCACACCCGGTAAGGCCACCACCACCTAGGTGCGTGAGGGTTCAAGTTTCACAGGCACGGCGAAACCGTCGCCCGATTCAGGCGCAGGTTGTGCATTGAGTGACAGTTATCTTATTTGTTGGCTTGTTTATTTTCTTGGATATATAAATGTTCGGAAACATATGATGAAAATTAATTCAAGAAATTTATTATTTTTCTTTTAAAACCATTTTGAAAACTCCAATTTTCATCATCATAATTACTCAAATTTTGCTTACATTTGACCACAAACATACTACACATTGCTGTGATTGTTCCCGTTGCATCTCCTAATAATTTCGTGATACCCGGTGTGTATAATAAGGATCAAAATATTACTTTCGGAAAGTGATCTTGTTCACGCCTGAAGTGTTTAATTTGTCCGATTTTGTTCCCTTTTGTGACCCGGTAAGCAAATTCCCCAACATTGACCCGCGTGTGCCAACTACGTGATAGCCTTTTCTTCTAATTGTACTCTTGTTTTTCTCCAAAACACTACTTTTATCTTCGTCATCTAATTCTGCACTATGAAACCACCTAGCTTCATAACTCTATTTCCATCTTCACCTTTTTCATTTCTTCCAAAGTTTTAGCCATAAAAGGATGCATCTATTCTTTCCAATCTCACTTCAACATTCTTCTCTTTCCAATCGAACTCTTTTTTGTCCCAATTTTAACCATTAAAACTTCACACAAACCCAAAAATTGTTGCTTCAACCGCTAATTTTTTTCTCAATTCACCTTTAATATTGGCTCATGTAATTTACCCAAATAATTAAAAGAAGTTATTCTTTGTTCACTTTCAAGGTACTATTCTCCCAACCGTTAATTTTCAAGAGATTTATCATTAATGGTGGGAAAGTGGTAACAACAAACGAAGGACGATTCCCATCATCAACCAAAAATAAGAAAAGAATACCCCTAACTTATCCCATATTGTTTGACAATCGTGATAAATTATCTGATTTTAGATTGTAAAAATGATGGTAGACATACATGGTGGTGCTAGAAGGAGAGAAAATCAACATGCTAGTAATTCATGGGACATGATAGTAAGATGTGTGCCTATAAACATCAACATGACCCCACCTAAGTTGGGACCATTGGGTAAGGATTGAGCATGATGTAATGACTCCCAACTGAAAGAAACACAATGAATGTTTGCCACTGGCTTCCATCATATCAAATTAAAAGCACAAACCAAAGTTAAAAGGTTAAGGATTCGATTCGAAACGTGGTACAAAAACGTATATGTAAAACGTTACTCTTTATGGATCTGGAACGATTGGGTACGAAAAAAAATTTAATACTATATTTTTATTAACCAATAGAATAGGCCCAAATTATTGTTGTAGGTCAAAGGCTCAAAGACCATCCAACAATAATAAACCCTAGCCGCCATACTACATAAAAATAGACTAAATAGTAGATAAAATAAAAAAATAAAAATAAAAACTTCCATCATCTGCCTTAATCTTCATACATCAACAAATTTTTAACCTAAAATAAATATGAAACTAAATCCTTACATACACAGATCTACGGAAGAAAAGTTCTAACTTCCAAGCTATGAATCGGTTCGTGGACTCTAGAGCCTGAGTCGAGATGCATCTGTACCGCGTTCCGGTACGAACGAACCAGGTCGCGGTTCGGGCCAACATACCGCAAACCTTGTAAAACCAGCACAAACATTATAGTGAATCATGAAGATTTCATCCTCATTCCTCACTGGATTTAGAGAATCGCTAACATAAAATTCGAGCATCATTACAGTATACTATATATAAAAGGAAAAATTGAAAAAAATAATCCCACCTTTGCTCAATCTACTTAAAACAAGTCAAGCTTTGAAAATTATGGGACAAGCCAACCTTTGCACCCTATTTTCTCAAAACAAGTCTTTTTACCTACTACCTATTTAACAGGGTTTTTTTTTTCTCCTCCCACTCACCACCCTTCTCCATGGAAACCACCTTGGAAAACACCACTAGCACTACCCAAGAACCAAAGAACCAAATTGACCCTCGCTCGACCTGAAACCCCCCACGTCCTGACCCTAAACCACCACACTTCACTTCCCCACCCCAAAAAACCACTCTTTCCTACTCCCTTACCCCGAAACTTCCCTAAAACCCGAAACCCCAACCTTCGAAACCACCTTATAACCCAAAACCCCACTACCGAAACCACCTTAACCCACAAAAAACTGATTCAAAAATCTAACCTAACAAATGGACCAAAATCATTCAATTTTTCATGCTAATGCAGTTCAATTAATTGAAATTCCTACAAAATCTGATTTACAAGAATAAGGAAGCAATGAAAGCTTGAAAGCTTCATCCACCCCCAAAACCTCTTTATTCATCCCCATAAACAACCTTTACCTTACAAAAGTAAACCCCAACTATCACCAAAAACAACCCAAACCACCGGATCTAAAAAAATTTGCAAGAGAGGAGAAAGTGGCGGCCTAGCGGCGGTGAGAAGGAGTTGGTTCAGTAGGATCGGGGAAGGGCAGGGAAGGGGAACAAGAAAGGAGAGTAGAGGGTTGGTTCTTTAAAAAAAAATTCCAAAATAATTATTCTAAGATAAAAACCAATTAGAAGGTGACATGTGGCAAGTCACCTTTTAAAACCAGTTAATAATTTTAAAAACTGGTAAAGGACTGTTTTGAAAAAATACGGGGCAAAGGTTGGCTTGTTCCCAAAATTTCCAAAGCTTGGCTTGTTTTGAGTAGGCTGAGCAAATGTGTGATTGTTCTTTGCAATTTTTCCTATATAAAAACAAAGAGGATGTGTAGCATGACTCTATGCACTAGTTTCCCTCCAAAACTAAATTCTTTACAGGAAATTTTATTCATAGTAACTCTTAGATAGTTTTCCAAGAATGATTTCATATAAATACAAAGTATGTGTAAATCTTGAATTAGCTACACATATTTAAAATCTATATATTCAAAAATTATGAAAAAAATCTGAACATTCAAATTGTAAGCAAAAGTTTAAATTGAATTTCACTTATAAACATATCCCGAGCTTGGCAAGAATCAAAAACTAGTAAATAACTACCCCCTAATTACTTTGACTGGACATGCTCGCTAGTGCACAACTTTAACTATCAATTTCAGTAATCATCTATTGATATATAAATAGGTTTTTTTTTTTTAAAAAGTATACATTAAGATAAGTTCAACATAACATAAAAAAACTTTGTTTTCACAAATTAGTATAAAATAAAATAAAAAGGATGGTTAAAGTGGATGTGTGAATAGTGTAAAAATTCAAAATTATGTGAGTAATCTAAACCAGAGGGATTATAATGGGAACCAATGATAAGAATCAAACTACTCACATCACCTCAAGTGCTCCTGTCCAAAGACTCCAAACTTCAATTCAACATTCCAACATGCATTTGGACACTAAACATTTCAATTCGTGCCAAAAACATGAATTATTTTCATAATATAGTTAAATATTGCATCAATGCATTTCTAAAGCAAGTGCCAAAGTCCAAGAAAAATTGGAAGGAACACCGAGTTTGATGCCTTAAGCTTCTTTCCAAATTGCCATAGCACTTCATGCTTTAAACATCCATGGTTAATTTTCTATAATAGGGTCATTAAACATGGGCATAGATCATAAATTTTGTATTGTACAAACAGCATCATATAAATTCAGAACCATTACTACATAACAACACAACACATAAGACTTGCAAGAAACTTACAGCATCTTTTGCTTCTAGTTTCTCAGCCCATCCATTCATCACATAAGGATCATTTACGGAAACACAAACTATAGATTCAATCCCTTTAGCTTTGAATTTGTCAACGTTAGTCTTGTAGCTGGGAACATGTTGAGCAGAACAAACTCCAGTAAACGCACCCTGGAAATAACTACAATGTTAGAATTGCCACACAAGGGTGTAAAAAGAGGGGTGTCACCCCCTTAATTAAAACTTAATACGGTGAGTTTCCATAACTTGTTTTGGATGAGTGATGGTATACTTAAAGGCACATAGGTCATATGGAGAGTGAGATCGCTGGTTCGGGGACAACAAATCTTCTTTTTATTATGATTTACATCTTTCATTTAAGTTGCTTTCTTTGTTTCCTTTTTTTTTTTTAATTTTTCTTTTATTTATAGTAATCCTAACTATCTAGATCTAGTGTGAACTGATTTTTTTCATAACGTTAATATTCAGATTTTTTTTCATAACGTTAGTTTTGTTTCCTTTTTGTTGTTTTTGTTGTTGTTGTTGTTGTAGGACTATAACTCTAAATACATAGATTTATACAAATGATTTTGGTGACTGATTACAAAATGCTACCTCCGTTTTTTTTATTTTTTTTTTTTTTTTTTAATTACATTGCATCACTTTGGCTTTTACACTATTGATTAACTCCACTTTAACTTTATACTATTTATAAAGTCCACTAAAAATAGTAGTGATCGAAATAAAGCATTGGCAGGGTAAAATGAGTAGTGTAGCAAGTTTAAAAAAAAATAAAAAAAAAAATTACTCATTAAGTATTGAACAAAATAATATATATCTCAATTTATAAGTATTTATTGAAAAATATCCTTTATTATGACAATAAAATATCACTGCAAAAAAATTTAAATAAGAAAAAAAAATGTAAACCTTGAAAAATAACACGAGCACTTTTACAGTTTTCTTTGCAACAATAAAGAGAGATAAAAAAAATTCTAAAACCCCCCTCTCCCAGATAAAAAATTCTTGGTTCTGCCATTGTTGCCAGACTCCAAATATCGCACTATTGTACCACCCTTAACATGACATTAGCAAAGGAAGACGGACTAGAAAAGAAGCACTCTTAGAGTTGCTGGTCCCCAAAAATACTTTCCAACATTTTTTATTGAAAACATTATCTACCATTTTCTATTGAAAAACACCATCAAGTATCTAAAACAGGACCAAAATATCAAATCCAACCACTCATCACACCTTTGTATGTTAAATAGACTTGAAGAGTTTTACCTTGACAAATGGCCATCATACTTGTAACAGAATAAAGATAACTATTCAGAGCAAGTATCAAGATTCATTAAGTACATAAGTGAGAAAATCAGAAGCACCATTGATTTCACCTTTTCCTATAGGCATTTAGATTAGGCAAAGTTGTTCAAAATAGAGGGACACATCCTTAAGTTTGGTATCATTGCTAAATTCTCGATTTCTCATGCCAAAACATCATTCTTCATACAGTCTGTAGTCTCCTACTCCCCCTTGTTGATACCATAAGTTTCAAATGTACATATAACTTAGTAGCTCAAAAAAGGATTACTTAATCCCAAAAACAAGCCATTCTCAAGGTTGAGTTATACTACAACAATAAGGTCCTTGATTGTTTACATTGGATTACCGTAAATCACCCTTATCCCAATATAACCACACTCATTTGAAGAAAGTTTATTCAGCATTAAGTACTTTGTAGAAATTAAATTGCAGTTGTTGCCAAAAAACCAATCTTTATGAAGACATTTTGTTTTGATATGATACCGTAACAAGAACATAAACTTTCATATATGGCTAGCCACACCGTGTGGCCAGCCACTTTTTTTCTTTTTTTTTTTTTTGAAAGAATGGTCCAGATTACTCGGTTAGTCGGGATTACTCACTCGGTTAGGGGTTACTCGGTTAGTTGGTCAGGGATTACTCAGCTAGTTGGTCAGCGATTACCTAGTCAGGAGGTTACTCATGTGTTAGCCGGCCACATAGTGTGGCCAGCCACACAAAAGTTGATGTAAGTGAGGTGTTCTTACACAGTTACACCTGCATATACTTCTCTCATTCTGCACAAAGAGATTATGCTACCATTAATTTAATCTTCAACTAGCCTTCTCTTTCTTTGTTTAAAACTTTAAATCCTCAATTGCCAATTATATTCATTAATGCCTTATCTTTTTTATTCCGTTTTAAATTTTCATCAATATTCAATACTATTATTCTTCCAACTTCCATAAAAGCAATTCAATTTCCTCTTTGGAAAAAAAAAATCCCAAACAGGAACAACATAAAAGAGATTGAGGGAATAATAATCCTAGCTAAAAATTGGATACAATTTTTCAATTTAAGCAAAAGGAATTAAATTTTCGAGATAATTATCATAATAAAAATTACTCCGTACCATCCAAACAAAAAACATTATTAAAAAAAAAAAAAAAAAAAAAAAAAAAGTCATGATCATAGAAGACTTACAGGGACGCCAAAGATGACAACTTTCTTCCCCTGAAAAACAATTTCTTGAAATTAATAACATTTCCAAATAATTATTAGAAATTGAAATCGAAAAGATAACAAAATTAGGGGTAAAAATGAACCTTGAAAATGTCTTGCAAAGGTGTAGTGGCGAATTTGGAAGAGACTCCTTCATCGTAGGAGCAAGCCTTAGGAAGGGAAACATTGGGTGCGGCCGAGACAATGTCAGATCCCACTGCAAGAGATGCATAAGCCCTTGATGCTGCGATTCTAAGCCCACCAGATATTGGTTTCTTCATCATCGCCATTGTTGCCATTTGATTCTGTTTCTAGCTTTTACGGTTGATGATGCTATGAAATGGAAGGAGAATAGGAGATGCTTTTTCAGGAGATGATTTTCAAGAGAAGTTGTAAAAACTACCAAGTACTATTTTTGGGTTGGTGATGCTTGTGATTTAGCAAGATATGGTCCAACAGACATTTGAGATTGGCCCAAATGTTACATGTTTGTCTAATTGAGAAGGGGACTATTGCAAAAATAGATGGGAAATCAAAATAGTCAAAATACACAAGAGAGATGTCCAGAAGCCCACAAGTCAGATCTCATAATGAGATTCCATCCTAAAATCAATTGAAAATAAGAAGAGTAATCCACTCGGGTTATAAATTGAAAGTCATTTCCATTTTTTTTTCAATGTGGATCAAACACTACTCACACTTGCACATAATAGGAAGTATTCTATACGATGTCAATTCTTCAAAACAAAATATAATAATGAGTCATATTTGTTAAATATGTCTTGAATTGAGGTTTCATGAAGTACCGCATGAAGTCCGCCGAGCATGTCAGTGTCAGGTCAAAAGATTTGTGTTCTCAAATTTTTGTCTTATTAAGTTCTAAATTAGGGCACAAACATACTTTGGCAAATTCAGGATTTACATAAAAAAAAATATTTCCTTATTCATGGATATATTTCCTAGCCATTGTGATATTCTTTATCAATATGTACTATGGAATTCCTCAATACAATAAAGCCTTCGTCTTGCCTGCCTCTAGATATAAGCTATGTATTGTTAATGAACCACGTATATCTGTGTGTTTTAATTCCATTAGTTATTTGTTCTTTTCACATTCAGTATAACAAATTGGTATCAAAAGGCTTAAGTTTAATCTAAGTGAGAAAGATGTTAAGGTTGAGTATATTGATAATTTCACAAGGAGAAGCAATTTTATTCTATGGCAAATCATGATGCGTGCTTTACTTGGAGCAACAAGGGTATGGGCATCGTTTACAAATTTAGAGGTCATTGGATTTGGGAACAACTGAGATCCTAAAAGTAGGGATGTACACCGGTCAAAAATCAAAATGGACCGAAACCGGAATCATGGTTTTTGGAGGATCGGAGACCAGGCCTGAATAGTCCAGACCTGGAAAATCAAATCGGGTCCTATCTTAAACTTGAATGGACCTGGTTAATGATTTTTTCATTTTTTTGTTTTTTGGATAGACTTGTTATGATGTTTTAGACCTGTTTTATAATACACTAATTATAGAAAATTCCAATCACCAAATTACATAAATTCCATTAAGTCCCAACTGTTTCAGGGGTTTTTGTCCCTTGGGAGAGTTACAACACTAAGACTGGATTCAACAAAGGACGTCAATACCTGCAAAGCAAACGGACCGTCGGATGGTCGGTGGTCCGCCTCCGAAGATTAAGTTAGTAAGCGTTCGGTAATAAAACGTGCGGAAGTAAAGTTATCTGCTCGGATTCCAAGCTCAGGTAAAGTGTTGTCTATTCTTTGAAAATGACAACTCTGTAGTAAGTGACGTATTGTCCCGTATTGCGTGTTTTTCCCTTCCGTCATAAATGTAAGAATGTCCCTATTTATAGGGTCCTTTTGGAAAGTGTGCCCTCCCTAGGATCTGGTGACCTAGGAATTAAGTCACGCCGCAAAACGGCGCCTCAAGATTTGGGTCCTTGAAGGCCGCCATTCCATAGGCAATGACTGAGTGACACGCGTTACTGAGCCCAAAAGGCCTTTGGGCATCTTTTTGGGCGACACGCGTCGTCGTCTGAATGGTCCATGCTGGATCATCAGTCTGTTTTAGGACAGAAGAATGTCCGCCCTCCACGTGTCATCATCTCATAGGTCCAAATGGCACCTTTACTGAGGACACGTGGCATTTTCTGATTGGGCCACCTGGCCGGGTAAAAATACCCAAATCATTTGCCCCTCACAGGGGTCATGTGCATTGCACGTGGCTCCTGTGACAGGTGTCATCATATGACTGAGTGGATTTTCAAATTGTTTTTTGGGGGGAAAAATTAGGGTTTCCCCTTTCTATAAATAAGAGGGTTTGACTTCATTTTTGTTTTCACACCTTTGCGAATCTTGGAGAATCTCTGGACTTTTGACTCTCAAAGACTCTTAAAGACCCTGACTTTTGTCAAGCATCCGACACTCGGCTTTTCTGACCGACTGCTTCAGCCATCCAGGCGTCTCAAATACCTACTTCTAAGATAACCGCATGCTCTTTTCTTTTATTTTTTCTTGTGTTTTTCGTTTAATCAAATGGTTTCCCAAACGTACATGGCACGACCTAGGTTAGCGATCAGCCGGTCACCAGGGACGCCTGAATCTAGAACTAGGAGTGCCGAATGCCCGTTCGAGAACTTTCTTTTAAGTACATCTCCAAATCCGACAGTGTCTGTGCATCTGCAGGACACGATGGCTCGAACAAAGCAGACAACAAGGAGATATAGACCGGATGGTTCCTTTTACCATTCGGACAGTGAGACTCCAAATTCGGACAGCTCCATTAGGGTGCCAGCTAGTGAGATTTCTAAGCACCCCCCAAACCCCTCTTTTGACCTTCCCCAAACTCCAACTTACTACTCTCCCTCTTCTTCAAGCGGCACCCCCAGGGATACTATACTGCGGGAAGCCGACAGTCGGTACCAGGCCGAGCCTTCAGAACAGGCGCTGGAGGAGAGTCTAGGGGAGGACCCTGATGGCCCTAGTCGTCAGTCCCCTAGGTCTGGGGAAAGTTCTGATGACGATTCGGCCTCGTCATCTTCTGATAGCGCCTCTGTTAACTCAGAGGAGGTCCGAGCAAAAATAGATACTACAAGGGAGTCCTTGTCAATAGAAAAGGGGAAGGCTGGGCGGAGCCGAGTGCTTCCAGTCGCTTGGAGCGCGCCCCCTACTATCACCATGTCCCGCAAAGCAAGCGGACCTCCATGACATCCGGTCTTGCCAATTTCTGGCGCAAGGTCGTAATGGGGCATGGCTTCTCCTTGTCCGTCCCCAACAAGGAGGATACTATAACCTGGCCCTCCCTGGCCAGTTATAAGGACAAAGCCTTCGGCTGGTACGAGGCGGTCCTTCAGGCTGGTTTACGCTTCCCTCTCCATCCGGTCGTGGAGAGGATACTGGACGGATACCAACCGGGTATCTGGCAACTTGTCCCGAAATCATGGATAAATATCATCGGGTACGTTGCCGCCTATGAAATGCTGAAGGTGGATCCCAGCTTTGAGGCATTCACCCATATGCACTATCTCAGCCGAGCGCCTGCCAAGGGCGGCGAAGGCTGGTACACCTTGTCCACCTGCAAGGGGTACATGATGGCAGTCGGCAAAGAGAACAAATGGAAGGATTGGAGAACAAAGTTCTACATTGTCCATTCCTCTGAAAATCGACTAAACCAAAAATACAATCGGTGGAACAAGGATCCGCCCCTCCTGGCTGACAAGAGTGCCTTGCCCCCTCTCCCTAGGCGGGCCCAGGAGGAAATTTTTGACCGGGGTCTGTTTAAAGTGTTCGTTCGGACAAACGAGCATGGGGAGAAAATAGTCGTCCCCCAGAGCTACATTCCCCTTTACAAGTGGCTAGAAGATGGGGTTCTCTTGGCCGCTTGTGGTCTAAGCTTTGAGATGTCGAGAGGTAGTCGGCCGTCTGATTTTAAGTAAACTTAAATTTTTTTTCAGTGTATGCTTATAAAGCCTAACTCCTTCTTTTTGGTGCAGACAAAGCAATGGAGAAGCTCTCGGCAACAAAGAAGATGGTTGTCGTCTCTGCAGCTAAGTACCGCACCAACGTCCTCAACAGGGCGAGTGATGAGCAGAAAACAGTCGGGACTCCCAAGGTAGCTGTTTATGATACTTGGTATATTTTTTTAATAGAGGTTAAATTTTGCCCGCCTACTTTTCTGACGCCTTTCCTTTTGTTCATGCAGAGAGTTTCCACCAGGCCTTCTCCCTCTAAACAATCCCAACCCAAAATTCAAAAAACAGGGGCGGGTGATGTGAGTGCATCCGGCAAGAACCGGAAGCACATCGCTCACAGGCCCAAGAGAGGGGACGGCTCTACTCTAGAAGCTGACAGGGAGGTCAGCAAACCGGATGCCACTCAGGCATCAAAGGGTGGCTTTAAGCAACCCAGCACTGCTGTCGACTCAGCAGGAGAGAAGAGGCGTCATGGGAAGGAGAAGGAGGAGGAGGCTCAGCCGGACGGTATGAGCCGCATCTTTATTGAATTTCAATACTTAATATTGTTTCTTGGAACTTGACTAACTTATAATTTTGCAGCTCCTGTGCAAAGGTCGACCGTCGTCCAGATGGTCAAGGAGATGCTACGGGCGCTTGATCCAGAGGACAAGGCGTCCGTAAGAGGACTCGACACCCTTAACTTGGATGCCATCTTGGGGAACCTCTGCGAGGTAAAAAAGTTAGCTAAATTTTCCTTAACATTTAGCATATATCCGACTGGTTTTGACCATCCGGCTTTTTCTTATTTCCAGGCCATGCTGCGCGTCCAGGGGCTAAGACGGTCAATCTAGGAAAAATCGAAAGAGGTAACAGCCGCTAAAGCTCGAACCGAGTCCGCCTTAGAACGAGCTCAATTTGAAATTGCTCGGAATGAGCTTCTGACCCTTGATATGATGTATTCCTAGGCGGACGCCAACCTGCAGGTGAAGAAGGACCTGGATTCGGCCCGCTCCAAAATCAATGACCTTAAGGCCGAAGTTAAAGGCCTTAAGGAAAATCTTGAGCCTCTTCAAGAGGCCGAGAGGGCCAAGGAGCGGGTTAGCCGCCTGGAGGGGCGTCTGGCGAACCAGCAGGAGCAGCTAAAGGCCAAGTTCCAGTCCCGGGCTGAGGAGGAGAAGCAGGCCCTTGTCAAACAAATGATGGAAGACTATGAATCCATCATGCGAATGGCATGGGAGGCGGTACAGCCGGGTGCTGATTTTGGCATCTGGAAATCTAAGTTTGATCAGGCAAACGAGGATTACAATGCTGAACTCCTTCGCTAGGCTGAAGAGGAGGCGAACAAGGATGACGCTGATGGTGAAGAGGCCGACTCCTCTTCAGGCTCCTCCGGTGATGAAGACGGGGAAGAGGAGGATGATGAAAATGAAGAGCAGCCGGCAACTGATGATGCGGCTGCCAAT